AGCCTTCTCCCCCCCCCCAAAAAAAAAGAAAAAATAATTACTTTAATATTATTTCGTATATTATTAGTTTGTTACCTGCTAGCTGTGTAAATGATAAATGATTTTTAAATCATAAAAAATTGCTAAAACAGTTATTTTTTGTTTTAACACCCGGCCAATTTCTTGTATAATTTGAATTTGGAAATTTTTCTATGAAATATTTTGAATGTTATATATTTTTGATATTTTTAGTTTCTGTTAGAACAACTTAAAAAGAATGTTTAAGATTACATTTTAAGGTAATAAAATTTATTTTTAGATTCTTAGCGGAGTTATATAAAGCATATTATTATATTATAATATGTTATACACACAATGACATTTTAAAATGAAATTTTTTGGAAAAATAAATCCATCCTTTTGGGACACAACTTTGAAAGTAGTTTCTGATAGATAGTTGGATCTAGTTGGTTATCAGTAAATTTTTTTTGGGGGGGAGGGAGGGTTGTTAAAAGTAGGAAATTCTTGCTACTTTTCAAAATAACTAGTAAAAGACGAAAAAAAATTTTACGCTTGGTCAAAATGGTTGTAATTGTAAATTTGATAGTAGGTTCCTCTGCAAATGTTATCAATATTTGACAAATTGACAAGCATTTACGAAATATTTTTTTGATAAAAATGTGTGAAATGTTCAATTTTTATAGCTGATGCTTTGAAATCTATTTAATATTAGGTTCCTCATATTAGTGTCCCAATATTAAGTTCATAATAAACAAAAAAATCTGAAAAGTATGTTTAAATTTTTAACTATAGATTAATATCACAAATCACCCAAAATATACTACCAAAATATTAGGGTTACCGAATTCAATTTAATTTGAATTTGGAATTATACTTTATTGCGTTGTAAATACATTAAGGATCTGGGAATTTAGCATGCTCAATGATTAAGCATAATAGGTACTTGACTCTTTTTTCTTATAGGCACTTTAAAAATTAAATTCAATCTGGTCGAAATGTATTTAAATTTAATCTATTTCAACAGAAAATAATGATTTTAGTTTTTTTGTTGTAATTTAATGATATTATTCGTGAAAACTTTTAGCGTATTTTATTAAAGTTTATATACACGATGACATTTTCAAACGCAATGATTTCGGCAAAATTTAATTCAACTTACATTATACCTAAAGTAAAAAAAAAAAAAAAACAATGTACCTATCATAAAATATATTTAATAATATAGGCTCTGGATAAACCAAATTAAATTAGAAAAAAAAAGGTAGAATAAAATAAATTTATCTTCAGTATAATACGTATAACGTTGTTGGGTAGCAATAATATTATATTAATAAACATTAAACATCAGAAAACTCTAAATCGGTTTTATTAATTTGTCCTTAGTATATTTAATTATTTTTTCATATTTTTAAATTGATTCTTTTTGACTCAATATTATTATGAATATCTTGTTTAGTTTCGATTAATATTGTAAGTTATATATTATAACAAACAAGATTGTAGACACAAACATTACAAACTTAATAAAAAAAAAATATACGATATATAATACATGGTTTCATTTTTAAGTTATATTAAAGAATATATTATATTGCCCAGAATGTTTTTGGATAAACTTTAATAATAATCATCCCCGATACATAATACCTACGTGGCTACGCATATATTGGTCGTGGGTTTTGACATTTTTGACACTTTACCGTCCATATTGTTAGTTTGTAGAATAATGCAAAGTCTCAAAAAAAATGTAATAACGGTAAATTATTCGTTTTTCCTGACAGTTAAATATCTTAAATGTATTAAAAGATAATATTATATACGTCGTCGTAATCGAGAAGTTTAATCATAAAATAATTATATTGCGCCAAATATATTTTTCCAATGATAAATTGCAATTTGTACGTTCAAATTGAATTTCAAAAAACAGATGTACAATTTCGATGAATTACTATACGGCAGTTGTAACAGGATAATAATACTGTTATTAACTTGAAGTACATTAAAAATTAAATTATTAAGTTATAAGACACCTTGTAACGCTTTGAACAAAACGTTTCTATAAAACTATCTAAAATGAGATTATTTGAAAAATGTTCAATATTAAACAGTTATAATGAAATTATTATTACTCATGATTTTTAAGATATTTGATATATTTTAAATACATTTCAGTTAAACTTTTACTAAGGTTTTAAGTCTTTATTACATTACTGTTTTTCTTAAAATTTAAATTATATGCACGTTATTCATACAACTAATACAATAATCTCATTAAATCCTAATAAAAACAATTTTGAATAGCATTTTTCTAAAAAGTAAATTTTTGTTTCTATAACAGACATTTAATATATTTAAATATATTGTATTACCTATTTATAATATTTTTATTTTAATGATGTTTTTTTAGAAATCAAAAAATATTTATAAT